AAAAAAAAAAAAAATAAAATAAAATTCCACTTCGTGGGCTCAAGGTAGCTCAGTGTACAGCACTTGCCTACCACGCACAATGCTCTAAGTTGCCCCTGGCCCCCATCTGCTTCTTACATTCCCTTCTCAGAACCACGAGTGATTCTGCAAAGTAACACAACTGTTTCCTGTATTGGCAAACAAAAGTATTTCAAATTTTTTTAACAAACTGGAGACGAAAAGTAGGCAAAAAACTGAAGGGGATTTAACCCTTGAAAAAAGGAAACCACGCTGAGTAAAATCTGTGGTCTATCTTGAATAAATACACTGCTGAACTCCACATGTGAGCCTTACTGGATACAGGTATAAAACCGGGAGCCACAGGATAGGAAGGGGGTCTGAGTCCCGCATGAATGCTGCTACTGTTGGTTTTCTTCACTGTGCCAAGAACACTGCAGCTCTGCTGGAGCGCTGTGGCTACTTTCAGCAAACGCTGCAGAAGGCACACGAATATACATCTGGGTGGTGGACGCATATGGGTCGCTATACTCTTCTGTCAGCTTACTTGAAAACTCTAATAAAACAACTGGAAGAAATACTTACGAGCACTCCTCAAAGACTTTGACTCTCTCACAGCCCTCCGGAGGCTCCCGTTTGAACATGTAACTGTTGTTAGGCTTGGGGGATGTTGCGTACTTGGGCAAAGGAGAGTTGTTCCCATTCTCTGCAAGAAATGATACGCCAAGTTACTAAAATGTACTCCAAAAATGCATAGTCAAGCCACCTGCTAACCCTGGCTTTCCCCTACACATAAACCACTTGAGGGCAGGCACAGTGTTGTATTCATTAATATTATCACAGTACCTAACACAATTCCTGGGAAAAGGGAGAGAACACTTGTTAAATAAAGGCATAAACAATTATAAGATTCTAATTTCTTTTGCACTTCAAATGATCACACAGCCTCGGTCTGTATCATTTAGTCCTCAGTACTGAACAATGGCTTTTTTATTTATATTCTATACACAGCAAATACACTCAAAACATCACTTCCATTTTCTCTAACACAAGTACCCAAAAGGGTTCTTCAGTGGCTGCCTGTCAGTACCTTTCAGCCTGCCCAGCTGAGTTTCTCAAGTTAGCATCTCTGCTTCTCTGGTCATAGTGTAGCTGCAGGCAGCCAGACTCAATGCACATGAAACACTTACTTCTGTCCGAGCTTCCATTCTCCTAGAGTGGTACATTCTGTTCATTTTCCCACAACTTCCTTCGAAGTCTGCCTTCACGTTTTTGCAATCTTTCCAGTTAAGTCTATCAAAGGGAACATCTCCTTACTGTAGTACCTGTTGAGGGCTGATGCCCTCAGTTTACACTATATTAAGATTCTTGATGTGTTACATAACTTTCTAAATTTTCAATCTGTGTCAACGGCAAATTCTTTGCTGGCAGTAGCACTATGTATGGTCCTGGTTTCTTATGAAAGATATTCACAGAAGCCAACTGGCCACTAGTCTCCTAAGATCAATGTGTCTTGACACAAGACTCTTGAATTCCTACATGTAAAAGCAGAAAGCATGGGAAATTAAGGTACAGATTTTAATAGCCATGTTCTATTTGATCCAGAAGCTAACAGAAAAAGAGGCCCAGGATACAGCTGTTCATAGTCTGAGGTGACTTTTTTCAGTTAAACTTATGTTTTTTTGTATTTGGTATATATAACATATTTGGTATATAATTTCAATAGTTTAGGTGATTATTAATAGTGGAACATTTTATTAATTATTAAACTGACCTGTAGAATTCACAAATAAATGTCTCATTACTGCTTATAAGTATATATAGTAAGTAAAGCTAGACTAACAAAACACTGCTTTCATAGAGATGGGTAGGATATTTGTACTTAATATTCAAACTGTTTCTGTCTCCAGATTCTGCTTATAGTACCTAAGTACCCTCCAGCCTTTACTTCAGGCTTGCTCTGAACACACGTCTTACTTTCCTATGTGTCATTTTAATGCTTGCTAGAAACATCACAAACATAAGATCCTTAAAAACACAAACTTCGTGATTTCTTATTAATTAAAAAGAATTAAGGCAATAAAGTTATGATGACTAAAATGACACAGACCAAAGTACTTTTCAGGACTAATAAAGAAATTGTATTCATTCACAAATATAAAAAAATTACAAAGTACAAATTACAAAGGCAGGTGTGACGGTACACAGCTATAATCCCAGCATTCTGGGAGACTGAGACAGGATGGCAACTTGGTGAGACCTGTCTGGCAATGTAGCCCAGCACAAGGCCTTAGGTTCAATCCCCCGTACCTCCTCCCAGCCAGCCCCACAAAAGAAAGAAAACAAAACTCAAAAAATGTACCAAGACCCTAAATGTACCCAACCAGAACACTGCCTGAGGACCAGCGCAAAACCTACAGTTCTGTAAGCCAGAGTTTCAATCTCTGCTGGACTCCACTACCCTGGTAGCCTCCAGCGTGAGTGCTGCTAGAAAACAAGCAGAATCAGTGTTAATTGGGTGGTATTCCGCCGTCACTCTGTGACACAGTCTTCCAGCACCACGCACCTTTATCCCTGGGGTCAACAAGCAGGTCATCAGCTGAGCAGGGGCTCTCCTCACTGCCCTCGTGGGAGATAGTGAGGAAGGATGTGGGGGACACCGACTGCGAGCGGCTGCTGCTGCTGCTCCCTCTATCTGCGCCCCCTGGCGTCTGTGTGTCAATGCTGCGGGTGCTGCTGCTTCTCTGGGCAAGCGGGGGAGGCGCGCGGTGGCCGTCTGGAATATCCTGTGGCTGTCACGACATTTAATGAACATCGGTTTATCACTGATTTTGAGATTGGCTAGCCTAGCACCCAAAGTCAACCTTCCCCTGCTCGCTGGAAACTCCTAAATTCTCTCCTCTTTATTAGGCCTCTGTTTTGCTTATCAGTGACACTGCAGTCTAATCTGACACCCCACTGAGCATCCTGGGTGAAGTTTGCCTTTCTAGAACCTGGCACACAGCAGGTGGCCAATGTTCATGGAACAGATGAACTGTATTGAATTATTTATCATGTACTAAATGCTACTTTTTTTTGTGGTGCTGGGAAATGAGCCCAGAGCCTCGTATGGGTTAGGCAAGCACTCTACCATGCAGCAACATTCCCAACCCTAAATGTCATGTTTCAAATCATAAAGAATAATCGTGGTACAAGAGAAGAAACCTACGTATAACACTAGGTCCCTACTAGGAAAAGGTTATCCACTGTGTCAATCAGTAACTCCTGGCAATAGGCCTTTGTTCCCTCTCTCTTCCTCCCCATTCTCTAAGTGGTGTTTTTTTTTCTTTAACCCTTCCTGTGGAGGACACTCTTTGATTAGAATGCATTAAGGACACAATGATTTGTTTAGCCTTGAGTTTATGATCCTCCTCTCTCAGCTTCTTGGGTGCTGGGATTACAAGTGTGTCTTGGATTACATGTGGAAAAGGATAATCCTTTGACTATTCTTGCTAAAAAATGTTTGGTATCTGCCCATTAGTACTAGCTATGCCCTAGGTTCTTGCTAAATAAAAGGTGACTGAAATTGGTATTTGAGGCAGCAGTCCGAGAGGCTGTAAGTCCCCCGATCCCAGAATTCTGCCTCTCTTGTTTTTCTTGTCTTTCTTTTCCTTTTATCATCCGTGGGGAACCTCGTTCACGGGACATGACACACTGGACAGAACAACACCTTCCTACCTAAGAGGAAGGTTAGTATCAGCAGTGCTAATTACAGACAGGGTGAAATCAAGCAGGCACACAGAGCAAAGCTTGTGCAGCTCACTTAGCGGGAACCACCTTGCCTCCTCCCTTCGCAGCAGCAGGAAAGTGGTCCCGTGATACAGCAGCACAGGAGGAGAGGGCCTGGGGCTGCGTTTGCTTTCAGCTAAACCAGCCTTTTTCCTAAGGCAGAGGACCTTAAAATATCAGTAAAATATTACTTTAAATGCCCTAACTCCTCCCTCACTGAAGAGCAGATGCTTAGGTGAGTATGCGCTATGACATGGTGTTCAAATCTGAACAGTCATTTTTCTCCCAGCTTTACACAAGACCTTTCTTCTGGGGATTCTAGCAGAAAGAGTAAGAGCCTGCACTTTATGAACACGGAGCCTAGGATATCAACTAAACCCAAGTAATAACTGACAGTCAACAGCGAGGAAAAGGTAGACCCAAGCTTAGCAATAATTCCATCTTATAATCCTCCGAAATTATAAGATAAGCTTTGGTTACATGGGGTTCTAGCAAGGTGCAGTGTATCATTAATCTAGTGACCATAAAGGATAAAAAAGTTTCTGTTCAAGATCGTAATTTAAATTGGATCAGTTGCACCTGTGAGGTTTTGAGGGGCCGAGGATTTAGCTCTGGGGCATAAGCACCTGCCTGGCAAGCTCAAGGTCCTGAGTTCAACTCCTGGTACAAAAAAAAAAAAGTTGACTATTTTTCAGAAAAATTTTCAATCACTTAATGTCAAAGTTTTTCAAATGAGATAAATTTCCATTTTTCTCCTAAGAAAGAAAACCCGTAAATTTGGAAATTAAAACTGATAATTTTTAAATTAGATGGCTGCGTGTGTGAGGTTGATTTTAAGATATAAGATTACTTACAATAAGCTGCTCCTCCTTCTCCCCAGTCTCTTTAATGATTATTTCAATCTCCTGATTCAGTCCTTCCACACTATTCCGGAACCGGGAACCCGTTGATTTGGTGATGGGAATTACTGGAATAAGCGCACTCTTTGGAACAGGAGCCTTCATAACGTGAGGGGGTGGGGGAGAAGAGAGAGTCAACATTACAGGCCTATTCTCTGGATTCTCTGGAAGTGCACTTCCACTGATGTAAGTAACTCAATAAAACAAAGCTACAGGCCTCTTTAGTCATGAAATACAGTAAATCCTGAAATTCCAGACAAGCAAGGTAGAATTTCAAAAATTTATTCGCATTTATTATAGGCTGGAAAAGGAATTAGAATCAAGGAAAATATTAAAATGATGTCAATCTCAGACAGTCTTCTGTGATTGTTAACAGTTCAGATTTCAAAACAATTCTAAACTCTCCTAGTGCCACAGTAATCTACTGAAAAGAAATGATTTATCAAACAAAAAGCACTTCGACTGGAAAACCAAAACCACTTCCAAAGTCCACGTATACCAGCAAGATTACAAAAGTGAAAGTAACTTCCCTATGAAATTTATACATTTATTGTAATGTTTATTGTTTTGCTTAGGGAAAGAAATGATGCAATGCATTTTTTCTTCTAAAAATTACCTTTAATTTTTAAAATTAAAAATGTTTTCATTGTCAGTTATTGCTTTTTAAGTAAACAGCTGATCTCATAATTATAGATATTACTCCATTTCCTGAGAAGATCCTCCAAGTAAAATATGAAACACACACTGCAGAGGTATCTACCAAGGTTAACAGCAACGGTCCGTCCCTAAGCCCCTGCTCCCTATTTAAAAAAATAGTAAGCATGATACATTAAGAATCCATGGCAAACACATGCATCTTGCGAGAAAAAAAGCCAAAGAACAGCTCCAGACCGCCGCTGCCCGCGGGCGCACCTGCTGGCTCCTGCGGAACAGGGCACAGCAACGCTCTGTGGTTCTGAGGACGAGGAGAGGAGACCTGGCACTGTGACTGCCAGAAACGCAGGGGTGCTCCGTGTACAGAGGCTGCGAGTGTTATCTTGTATTTCCCTCATTTTATTCTTAAAAAACTTGGTCTTTTCACATTTTTTAAGGCTCATGTTTCACTCCTCCCTTTTTCCGCATAGTACTGTCGAAGCCCCTTTCATTTGTTCTCTTTTCCTTCCACCTCCTTTTTCTGTCCCCTCTTCCGCTCTCAGTACTCGCCATCAGAGGAAAGAACGTAGAAACACTACGCTCAGATGTTCCACGGTTGTTTTATAGAAAAAAATGTGTTTAATTAAACACGTTCACCTTCCATACCTCTGAGCCGTTCTTTACAGTGCAGCTCTGTGGAGAGCTGAGGTCCCTTTCTACAACAGGTTTTAGGCCAGTCGTGGCTTCACAGACCCTCTCCTGGGGCAGGTCCATTCTCTCGGAACACCTATCTCAGTGCAGCCCCTTGGTGTTCATAGGCAACTTCACATCTAACCAGCATCAAAGATCAAATAAAACTTTCACTCACTAACGTCTGTGTTGATGGAAACATGAATGTCTTATGTAATGTGGGGTTAAACTATGAATTTCAAGTAATGCGGAGTGGTCTATAAAGTCCGAGTGACACGATTTTTGGAAGATGAATTATGGATTAATTTTCAAAATTACAAACTGGAAATTGCGGGGTTAAAACCTGCCCTATATGACTTCAAGGATTTAGTTCTATTTCTTTTCCTTCTCTCTTTCTTCAAATAAAAATAAAAGTACTATGTGCTGGTGGGAAAACACATGTATCTAATTTCTCAATATTTTCTGTTTTATCTCTTGGAATAAAGCCTTACCTACACAGATACTGCAAAAACACACAAAATAATGCACTCCATCAGCAGCCAGTATGCACATATACCACTCACCATATACACACAGTTTAAATTTCACACAGGAAAATGAAAAACCGTTCCTCTAAAATATTAGATGCAAACTATACACAAGCAGAGGAATTATAGACTCAACCTGAGGGGAAGAATTATGATTTACTCATCTTCTATCACCTCTGCCCAGAACCGAGCCAAGAACACGCAAGACACTGTTCTAACCTGGCCAGTGTTGCTGGTGAGGTGTGTTCTGACAGGATGCCTGCAAGGCAGCAATTAAGGTTGAAAGAAAGGCATACAATGGGCTCTAATCCCACAGGGTAAGTGCAGACAGACAGAGACACAGACAGACACTACTGAGAGCTCGTGCTCCTTCACAACTCTGTGCACACAAAGAACACGTCCTATGAGCACACAGCTGGAGGGTACAGGATCTGTCCACAACCCAAGCAGAGAGCCTTCACCAGATACTGACCCTGCCTGATCCTGGGCTTCCAGTCTCCAGGGCTGTAAGAAAGTGTGTTTTTTAAGCCTTCCAGTCTACGCCATTCTGGCACGGCTGCTTGTGGAGACTAACGTGCTTGCTCAATGGTGAGTTTCAAATTTCATTTCTGCATCTTCCAATTGGCTTAAGAATCTACTTAAATACAACCCAGAGGTACAGTGACTCAGAGACCTTGAATAAAAGTCCATAAAATTTTACCCCGACAAAAACTAGTTGCACTGAGCTACTTCCCTGGCCCTTTTTAATTTTGAGACAGTGTCTTGCTAGGTTGCCCAGGCTAGGCTCAAACTTGTGATCTTCATGCTTCAGCCTCCCAAGAGTGCTGGGATTATTTTTCTTTTCTATGAAAGTAAAATCTATCATGGAGGAATAAAAAACAATTACATCATAGGAGAGGGCAACTATTAATCATCTGATATTGTTCTATCCAGTTATTTTACTTCTGTGCACACACATTTTAACCAAAAACAGACTGTATTTAGTATTCTGTGACTGATAGTTTTTTAACTTATCAGATCTCTAGCATCCTTCTATACTTGAAATTTTTATTCATCAAACCATTTTATAGTTGCACAGTATGCACTGCACAAGTACATAAGAAATGCTTATTACTGAACAATTCCCAATTTTTCACTATTCTAAAGAAATGCTGCAGTGAATATCCTCTTAGGTAAGTATTTGCAGATATACACAAGGATGTCATAGGATAAACTGCTGGGGTACAGACAACTAGCACTGCAAAGAATAGGAAAGATTTTCGGGACTTTGCCCTGTAATGGCAAAATACTTGTATTCCTTATATTTCTCTCTATACTGTATGAAAATGTGTATTTTACCAAACTCTAAACACTGGCTCTAGAGTTTTTCTTAACCTCAGGGTAAGTTTCATAAATTAAAAAGCTCTCATTGTTTGTATGTTGTTGCATGTAAGTGAAGGTGAACTTTTAAAACAACAACCAGCCATCTGTACGTTTGCAGCAGGGACAGAGCGGACCGTCTCTTTATCCTTAGCTGCCTTGAAAGAGCTTGTCTCTGTGTTTACACATAAACTATTCACACTGAAAATACACTTTAATTACTCAAACTGTGAGCATTTTTACAGTATGCTTAAAGGTCACATGTTTTTAAAGTGTCCGTTCACCTTTTCCTGGGGTTTCCACACATTTCTCTCTCCAGTTTACACTCTTCTCACAGCCCTTTGTGGTATATGCTGTGCATATCTTGTTTGTTATTTTAAACTTCATTTGTCATGTTTTCCATCATACAATAATCTTTACAATTAGTTTCACTGATCTTTCCTTTTACTGATTATGGATATTGGGTCCTAGAAATCCTTTCCCTATGCTGACAGTAACAGTGGAATTCACTGTTTCAACACTTAAACGGTTTCTTGTTGATAAAGATGTTTTATTGCAACTGTGTTAGGGTCATAAATTAAATTAGGGAGTACTATGTTAAACGAGCCTACCCCAAGCATAGGGAATTTCTTTACATTTATTCAAGTCTACTGTGTGATTTTTAAAGTTCATAAAATTTTTCTGTTATGTTTTATAGTTATTAATTTCATTCTTTTAGGGGGGAGTTATGAGTCAAGATCTCACTATATAGTTCAGACTGGCCCTGAACTCATAGTGACTCTCCTGCCTCAGCCTCCCGAGTGCTGGGATTTATAAGTGTGCATCATCACACCTGGCTCTTTTTGATTGCTTGAGGCCAGGTCTTGCTACGTTGCTTAGAATTTGTGATTCTCCCAGCTCAGTCTCCCAGAGTACGACACTCTGTCCAGCCCCGCTGAACATTTCCAACATGTGTGGGTGTTACATTTCCCAGATGCTTTCAGCAACTATGATATTTTAATGTGGACAATTTAAAGCAAGAATAGTCAAATAACATTCATAATGTCTGGCACTGAGTAATATGATTTCCACATACAACTTCCTCGGTGCAAATAATTGGTAAAATCCACTGCAAGGTAACAGAATGTCCTGCATGGCTAAATAGCTACAAACCAATTAACAGGCAAAGAACAGGTACCAAAACCAATTTCAGCCTTAGAATAATTGATCTCCCATACTCTTTTCCTGTCAATAGTTATGTATCAGGGGCTGGGGATTTAGCTCAGCAACACAGCGCCTGCCTGGCAAGTGCAAGGTCGTGAGTTCGATTCCTGGTACGGGAAAAAAACAAAAAAATAGTTATGTACCAGTCACCCAAGACGCAAAAATGGCTTACCATACCAAATTTTGCAACCATGAAGAACATGGACTGTGGACAACATAACAAAGGGCCCTCTACATTCTAGAATTCAAAAACTCTGTGTGTCTATGCATGAATAAAACTACCACATCAAACCAATCCGGTTTGCATTCTAAACTGTTAGTCATAATAAAAATTAAAGATTTAATTTTAAATTTATTAGCTTTTAATCTGAAAAAATGTGACAAGGTACTCATTGTTTGGTTTGTTTTTTTGAAGACAGGGTCTCATTGTTTAGTCCAGGCTGGCCTGGAGCCCACAGCAATCCTCCTGCCTCAGCCTCCTGAGTGCTGGGATTACAGATATGTGCCACACCTGGCTCAAGGTACTAATACTTTAATCTGTTTAAACAAAAGGAAGGTGGGGAGCCATTTCCCTAGGGCCTACATACTATTCTAGGGCTCAACTATAATTTATTTAACTAGTAATAGTTGTATGAGTAAAAGAAAAATAATCCACCAAGCTGCCTGGAGAAGACTTTCTTCATTAAA